AGTTTGGTACTACTATAGTTTCCAGCAATCCTGTTAAGATGGTGGGTCTTAAAAAGATGTGCTGGTATTGTAGTTCAACAGCACTTAGGGCCGTAGGTCACCTATCCCCAGCACAGGAAATCATTCCAAGTCTCCATAAAGACTGATGAAAGAAGGTTTTTAAGTGAGAAAATAGTACGTAACCTCACTGTGGTTTAAATCTGATTTTAGAGTTTGCTTCTCCAGGTTTTCATTCCAAATGATGGAACTAGGAAGATCGAGAATCACACTGACTGTCACTGCAGCACCTGCTACTATCATAAATCTTAATTTCTCTACAACTGGACAACAGATTCCTCTGCAGCTGGACAACAGATAGCTCAGAATGAAGTTTTATCATGTCCTAAATTTTTGTTTTCCTTAGTTTTGTAGTGAAATTATGTATATTCCTAGGTTTTCTGATAGGAGTGATCCTTCTGATCAGCATGTTATGAATACTCTGCTGTTTGTTCTCTATGTGCTCTGCCACACATTTGGATAAGCAGAAAAATATACATTTCTTCTGCGAATCAAATATAGAGTTATGCATGATAACCAGAGCCTTGTTTATTTTGTATGTCAGGTATGCATTCATATTTGAATATTGTTTTTCAAGAGAAAAGACACCAATAGAGTCACTGAATATAATTTTTCATCCCAAAATTAATTTCAACTGAAAGAAATTTTATGTTTCATGTGTTGATTCTTTTTTTTCCTCTGTTAAGACTTTAATGACACAGTTTTAGTGGTGCTAGACATGGAAAATGCACTCTGATGCAAGGAAACTTGAATTTAATTAAAAGGAAACTTGCATCAATGCTTTTCAAGTTGCTTTTAGAATTAATTTCTCTTACCATTGGACTGGATATTCTTTAAAAAAATTATTGCCATTGTATTGAACATGCTGGCTAGCATGCAATGAGTCTACATAGCAATACCCTGAATCAATACATAAACAACACACACACACACACACAGAGAGAGAGAGAGAGAGAGAGAGAGAGAGAGAGAGAGAGAGAGAGAGAGAGAGAGAGAGAGAGAGAGAGAGAGAGAAATGCTATTTAAAAAAAATTCCATGCCACAATAAAGCAATTGCTTATAGAAGATTCTGAATGGATTAGAGCAGAGGTCCCCAAACCCTGGAACATGGCCCACTACTGGGCTGTGGCTTATTTAGAATTGGGCCACCTGAGTGGCTGGCCGGAGTGCATCCATGCACGTGCATAGCTCGACTTGCATGAGCGGTGGGCCGGTGGGCACTCGCGTGGCCCAGTTCCCCTCTTTCTCCCCCCCCCACCTGGGCTGCCAAGCCACTAAGTTTGGGGACTGCTGAATTAGAGAACCAGATTTCACCACCAGCAGCAGTAGCAGCAAATATCCATGCCATATTTCTATGTGTTACAACCAGAACGCCCAGAATGGAGTTCCAGCAACTTTTTTGGATGGAACCTTGTAGGATAGGCAAGGCAGGCTGTATGACATGTGTGAGTTCCGGCACCTTTTTTTTTTTTTTTTTTTTACAAAAAAAGCACTGGTTACAACATTCTGGTTATTAAAGGCATTGTCTCCGAGAGTGACCTTTTGTGGAGAGTACTATAGAATCCCAAGGGGTGAGCATCTCAGGCTATGATAATATCTGAAGAGTATTATCAGATGTATAAAAGATGCTATAACACGCTAGTTTTACTATTTCGGAAAGGATGGGTCTATCTTCAAAGGAGTTCCCCTGTGTGATTCCATCTTCCTTTCCTGGATATGTCCATAGATTTAGTTTATCTAAGTTTATCTATTTATCTACAGGTAGTCCTCGAGTTTCAACCATAATGGAGCCTGCTCACCAACTTCATGATGGTCTAAAATCGGATCACCCATACGATCAACCCAATTTTATGATCTTTTTTGTGGTGGTTGTAAAGCGACACTATAGCTGTTAAGCAAACCAGTGGTTTGCTATGGGTGTGGTTTTGCCAATGACTGGAAATAAATGGAGGGGGGGGGGAGAGAATTGTACTGAAGTAATTATTGTTCTTAAATGCTCTCATTGATCCCTAAATATTCAGCTGTTTCTGGCGTCATTTTAAAAGTGTTCACTCCACTCTGTTCTGTCTTTTACCCTTTCCCGAATTCCCTATACATTCTTGACAATTGAATGGGATTCAGTCAGCCAATGTTAGCATTAATTTCTGGTGAAGCAACGTTACTGTCTGATTGATGGTTTTAGATCACCATCTAGTGGAGGAACTCATAACCGAATTTGCACTTATATATGAATGAAGCTAAGCAATAAATCAATGAGAGAGAGAGAGAGAGAGAGAGAGAGAGAGAGAGAGAGAGAGAGAGAGAGAGAGAGAGAGAGAGAGAAGAAGAAGAAGAAGAAAAAAAAAAAGGGGGGGAAGAATAAAAGCTAAGTGAAGAGAGGTAATCAGGCCAGTCCTTTGTTTAGTATACATCAATGGCAGACTTGAAGGGGATATCAGTGACAGCCTTTCTTGGGAAAATGAAAAAAAACAACATGCCATAACCATCCCAGAAGGTAAATTTCTTCTCAAGTGCTCTGCAGTGTATCAACACCAGTGGGCCCCTGACCTTAAAAAGACTGTACTTAATTATCAAAAGAAAATGTAATAAAAGTGCATGAATTTTGCCTTACCTACATTATCTCAACCTTTTCCAATCTCAAGCTTTCATGATGTTTTGAGTTACTAATCCCATTATCCCCAGAAAAATTGCCTGTACATTTCTGGCTGGGAAGATGAGAATTGTAATCACGTGCATTTGCAAACAGGGTCAAGGTGTGTGTGTGAGACACAATGTATATGATGTCATTTAAATGCTTAACTTAGGCACATCAGACACTGGGACATAAGCATGCAATAGGGGGTATTTGGGTGATGGCATTGCCATGGGCATGTCATTATTTTTTAGTCATTTATGGCAGGGGTCCCCAACCTGTGGGCCATGAGGGATTTGCAACCGAGCCGCAGAAACGACTGGCAAGTATACGCATACAGGCATTCTCATTTGCATGGTTAAAGTCTTCTGCAGAAAGAAAATCAAGCTGCAAATCCATTGAACAGAACTCATAACGTAATACATTGCAACATAGCCATCCAAAGATTGCATTAATTTCATTTTACACTTCTACACAAATCATCACAACTGAAACATATTAATGTGGGACAGGACAGAGGAATACCACATGGATGTCATTCTACTTAGCACATTTGTTTATTTTTCCTTAAATCCAGGGGTACTTCCTGTGAAGATATTTTTTAAAACTCTCTACCTTAAAATTAGGTTTAACCACTTTGGGGGTGCTCTCAGTATCATGTGCTCCAAATTACACACAATCCAGCCTTCTAAAATGAGCTTACATATTCTAGATATCAATGAGATTATTTCACCTGAGTCAATTCTTTGGAAACTAAATATTATGTTGTTTCCTCTGGATACTCAAAATCTACATTGGCATATTTTTAATTGATCGTCTGAATAAGCTCTTCAAAATCATACCTGAACAACTCTTCAAAATGTTGCTTACTATCAGTGGCTTTCATTGGTTGAAATGGTCAGAAAGGAAGAAGTAACTTCACCTATTATTATCATCACTTTTAAAGAAACCGTTTTGTACTCAAATGAAATTTTAATTGGGTAATCTCAAACCATCTAGCAGAGAATAAACATGGTCTTCACTTTAATCATGTACAGCCTTAAGCCTGATGCTAATTAGCAGTTTGAAAGAGTAGTGATGCCAAAGAGCGAGATCAAAGATTATGTTGTTACTGAATATTACAGTTTACATAGCAAGTGCCGAAGCTTTCAGCACAGATGTGAAAGCAGCTGTAAAAAACAATTAGCACAATTTCTGAACCTGCAGCTACATTATCTCATAATGAATGAAAATAATATGTAGCTTTTAATACAGTGTATCAACTCCTTAATTCCAGAAGGATCTATGACAGGCATGTCAAACTGCCGGCCCGCGGGCCAGATGTGTCACATCAAAACTGTGCCCACCCCATTGCCGGCAATGGGGAAAAAGTCGCGATACGTCACACAACATCACGTGACATCACAAATTTGACATGCCTGATCTATGACATTATAAAGGCCAATTATAATCGTTTTAAGTTCTTAGAATTGCCATAACTTTTTTAGGCATTTGGCAATTCCTCAAAAAAACCCTAACAGCACATGGTCAGTATTTATTCAGATTTAATATCTTGCATGTTTATTACAACCTCCTCTAATGTGATGCCCTCTAGCTCCAGAATGCCTTTACCATCATAAATCAAAGACTACCTATAATGTTGTAAAAAAGACAAGGTCTGATCTTCTGAAGACGCAGCTTCATTTGTGGGTGAAGATCCTCATTGGGCTCAGTGGATGCTCTTCTTTCACTTTTCTACCCAGCTTTTAGTGTGTGCATGTAGATTCACAAATAGTATACCATAGTATGCTGTTTTGTATTTACAAGAAGCAGGGAAATTTTACCCAGTCTGGCTCAAAGTTACTATAAAGCCATAGACCTAAAGAGGAGAGGTGAAGGAGGCATTAACTTTCCATTCTGAATAAAGGCTAACCTACTGAAATTCAAGGCAGGTCTCATAAATCAGCTGGGGAAGCAAATGAACAGGCCATCATTGGCACAGATGAATGTCCAAAATTCAATGGCCTCAAGACACCTTGGGTCTTTTATTGTGCATGTCCCGGCTTCACACAAAAAAAGGAGAAAGCAAAAGTGCCAATAATAAAGTGTATTTGAAACTCATAGAATAGAAACTCACATACTCATGATACAAGGAGGTAGAAACAGTTTGACAGATTTACAGGCAAAAGAGAAAAATTAAGCTGAAAGCTAAGCAAAATGGAAATGTCCTTTTTTTAATAAGCCAACCTTTCTCCCTATAAAAGAAAACAAGGTTTCTAGATGACGTTGTTTCTTTCCACATAGTTAAGACTAGTAAAGTCAAATGACATTATTCAGGGTTGTTTTAAGGGTGTTCCGAACACTTAATGAGTTTTTTAAAGGCAAATTTAAAATCTTCATTAAAACTAGTATACAGCAGAGGATTGATTAGAGAATTCACATAGCCAAGCCATGTCAAAAAGTGAGCAACTTCTGATGACACGGTGCTTATCCTGAGGCCCACAATGAGCTCCTTAATAAAAAAGGGCAACCAAGACAAAATGAATGCACCTAAAATGAGGCCAAGGATGCGTGCAGCCTTTCTCTCCCTTACGCTGGAAATCTGTTGGCGGTCTCCAACCAAATCTGGATCGTTGTCAAAAGGAGGGCTCCTCACTGAAAACTGGATTCTGTCAAATTCCGTGGTTGGATCGGACATGGATAAGTCTGAAATGCAAAAGGTCTGTGTGAGTTTACAATTGGCAAAAGAATTCTGGCTGTCGGTGCTTCTACTGCTGAGATGCCTGCTTGACCCACGTTTTTGGTACAGGCTCTTTGCTGCATGATAAATTCTGTAGTAGACGATCAGAATGAGGGTCAGCGGGATATAAAACGCTCCAAATGTGGAATATATGGTATAAATGACATGACTGTGTTGGATTTGGCAGTCACTGGAATTGCTGTTGCTAGGGTGGTTTCGCCAAAACAATGGAGGCACTGAGATAAAAATCGATATTGCCCATACCGTGCAGATCATAATACCAGCTCTCTTGGCAGTCCTTTTCCTGGCATATTCAATAGCATCTGTAATTGCCCAGTATCTATCCAAAGCAATGACACAAAGGTGGAGTATTGAGCATGTGCAGCAGGTCATGTCTATGCTCAGCCACACCTCACAGAGGAAATATCCCAAGATCCATCGGTCCATCACTATATAGGCAATGCTCAAGGGCATCACCAGAATAGCAACAAGCAGATCTGTAAGCGCCAGCGAGCATATTAGGTAGTTGGCTGGCTGGTGGAGCTTCTTCGTTGTGCAGATTGCCGAAATGACAGAAGAATTCAGTAGCATGGTCAGGGTTGTAATTATGGAGAGAGACAAGGTAATTAGCAAATTTTCAGTGACAGTTTTAGGTTTCGTAGCCACGTTGGCTTCTGGAGTAAAGTTAGTATGATTCATCTTCTGCGGCCTTCTGGGAGTCGGAGTTAAAATTTCTCCATTCCAAGATTACCACGAGTGCTCCAGATTTGAAATTCGACATCCATACTTCCCATGTGTTCCAGATTGAAGCACTTTGTCTGTTAGCTTTCTGATTTCCTGGAAGATGAAATATACTTATTAATACTAGATCATCTGGCTTTATTTATTTTTTACAATGTTAAAAACTACTTCTGTTTAAAAGAACATGTAACCCAATGGCGAAAAAGTATAGCACAAATTAAACCAATATGCCAAACTTTTAAAAGTGAATTAATGCCAACAACACTGAACAAACTAAGCAGGGGATTCAAATATGTGAACAACTGGTTCTCTGTGTGGATGCCGTTTCCGGAAGTCCATTCTGGGCCTGGGCAACAAAAAATTAGCTACCGGTTCTGCCAAAGTGGTGCGAACCGGCTGAATCCCACCACTGAAGCTAAGCAATAAAATTCTGATCAGTGATTCACTGGAAAAGCTTGGTGGGGCAAGAAAGATCTTTTAGGCAGTATAATTTAAGTGACTGATCCTGTGGGTCAACACAGCGATGACCTATGTCATGATGTCACTTAAATCTGTGTTGTACCGTAGATTCTGATAAAGTTAAATATGATGTTACTAGACCAGGGGTAGGCAACCGTGGCTCTTTTATGACTCGTGGACTTCAACTTCCAGCAGGAATTCTGGGAGTTGAAGTTCACAAGGTATAAAAGAGCCAAGGTTGCCTACCCCTGTACTAGAGAAATGTTGCCTCATAAGTGTTATATAATACAGTAGTTGTGTCTCACATTTTGTTCTCCACAAGTCAAATAAACTGATCTTTCAGACTAGCCAACATATTACAAATATATTTATCTTCCTTCCACTGGCTTCTTCAGAAACGGATTGTTTAAGAAAATTATACTAATTTAGTTCAGTTGCTTACTCAAGATTCACACAAAAGAAGAGGCACAACAATCAAATTAGCTTCCACTAGGTTAATACAGAATTTACCACATTGTGGAAGAATCCTGTCCTTCAAACAGTTGTTTATACTTTTTTTTTTTATCTCAAATCATTAATTAAAATATTTAGATCTGTTTTCTGCCCAGAGTCAATTGTATTGAAATGCATGGCTACAGAAATTAAACAAATGAACAAACAAACAAATCTTAAGCTCAAGTCACTTCAGGCTTGAATCTTACTACTGTGAGAAGCAAAGTTTAAGAAGTTTCCATGAAACCACTGTTAAAAATCTATTGGATTGGAATTGAAATTGAACCCTTTGTATTTGGAATGTTTGTTCTTTGGGGAGGAACCAATTACTTCACTGGGAGAGAATGGAGAAACAGCTCAAACTAGATTTATTTATTTATTTATTTTACTAAATCCATCTATAAATGATACATGATGATGAGAATTAATTTCACCCCATAACAATTGACATTATTTTCAACGGGCAAAGATAAAATAGGATTTTTAAAAACTTGAACGGAGAATTCTTGATAAAGGAAAACAAAATAGAATTTTTTGTCTGAAATGATATAGGGTTTCCTGCCTGAGCAGGAGGTTGGACTAGATGACCTCCAAGGTCCCTTCCACCACCACCACCACCACCACCACCACCACCATCATCATCATCATCATCATCATTTTTCCTACTTACACATTTTCTACAAATCATTTTCTATTTGTAACAGTTTTGAGAAAATACCGTAATTATGCTCCACGTCAGGGGTAGGGAACTATGATCCTTTTATGACTTGTGGACTTCAACTCCCAGAATTCCTGAGCCAACCATGCTGGCTCAGGAATTCTGGGAATTGAAGTCCATGAGTTATAAAGGGGTCATAGTTCCTACATAGCTCTGTGATTGCCCTTCCCTGCAATATTTGAGTTAATGAGACCAGGGTTGTAGGTCAAAGGGCAAAGATTCTTAGCACTTCCAATAACAATTTGTAAATAAGTTAATGAGAATTTTTTTTGCATGTGGTACAATAACGGCAATTGGTATTGATTAATGATTGTTCAATCATTTACTTCTGATCACTAATTAAGATCAGTAGATATCATTTCACCAAAGTAGTGGTTTCTTTTAAATGTCATCAGTGGTAGTACACAAAATGCTGCTTTCTGTCTACTCTTTTTTGGACTGCATTTGATTTTTCAAGCATCAATAGGCTTCACATTAATAAATAAATGTTTTGAAGGCATAATCAAATTTTGAAAATTGTCATCCCCCTGGGTGGTATATAATAAAATATTAAAAATATAAAACCCATATCTAAAATTTAAAAAAGAGGAAAGCTTTAAGCTTTGTGTTCACTGTTGGTGATTCCAGTGGGATTTTTAATTGATATTTTTATTATGGCCCTTAGTATTCTCAAGAATACTCTCCAGCTCCTCAGTTCAAAGGCATCAATTCCTTTTCGTTCAGCCTTATGACAGTCCAATTTCACAATCATATGTTACAACTGGGGAAACCATGGATTTAACAACACATACTGTATCTTTGTTGAGGAGGTGATACAGCTCCCACTTTTTGTCTAGAATGATCTATGATAGTCTTTCTCCCAAGTAGCAGATGTGAAAATTTTATATTTCTTGCTGCTTTTGTTTACAGAAGAAAAGGTGTTTCTCATTTTACCTCATTTTACTTTACCTTATATTGCTGTGCTATTTATATCACTGTATTCACTTGTGGTCATCTTTTGTTTTAGGGGGGAAAAAAACCATCCTCCATATTTTTCTTTTTTCTTGCTTTCTATCCTTAAATTCTCCTTCTGCTTTCACACCATTATTCTAATATATCTTCAATAACATTGGATCTTTCCCTGGCTACTTAAGAGAAACTTCAGATAATTCATCTCTCAGATAAAACTCAGTTAAGATTAACGCATCTGACTACAAGTATAGATAATCTGAATGTCTTCCTGTTTACACTTATCAAAGCTAATTTAGTATGTTTAACTCAATACGTACTGAGAATAGTTCCTTCTAGTATTGATCCTAAGTGCTAATAGTGCAATTTCCTCATCATTAATGCTCATCAAGATGTCCCCTCTGTTATCCTTTTCATATTTTCCTTTCATTGTTTGCATTGTCCTACTGGCTGTAAGGCTTCTCCATGTACAAGAAAATGTGTTTAAATTTGTATCAAAATGCTGTAAGAGGAGGAAGACAAGTTCCACAAGTTGCACCAGACAAGTTGCACCCAATTCTAGGGAATTTTAAGGTAAAGTATGTATGCTGCCTGTGTGTGCTACTAATTTTTCTTAAGACAGACATCACTGTTTCATGACTGCAGTCACCATCCCTATGTATGTTTTAGCCAGGAAGATAAATTAGTACTCCTCATATTCTTGGCTTAGCATTGTTCGTTAATACAGGTGGTCCTCAACTTACGACCACAAATGAGCGCAAATTTTCTGTGGCTAACTGAGACCTTTGTAAAGTGAGTTTTGCCCCTTTTTACGACCAGTTCTGAACTGAATCACTGCACTTGATAAGCTAGTAACCCAGTTAGCCACTCTGGCTTCCCTCACTAATTCAACTATTTAAAGCATTTATATTGGTGCCTATCTAATATCGAGTTCTGGGTTGTTCCCAATCCGCAATTAAAATAACATGCTAAAACAACACAGTATTATATTAAATCTATTAAAATGATTTCAAAAGAATCTCAGTGGAAGACCTCATGAGGGAGCTCTTCTTTATCAGACTGGGGAGAGTCGGTAGGCAGAGTGAGTAGCCTTATAGGAGAAGAAAACAAAATACTATGAGAAGTATACTTGTATTCTGAATGTGTGTTTGTATCCACACCCATAAATATCCATTCTTTGTTCTGCATAGCCTCTTACTTTTTTGTTTAAACCCACTATGCTCTACGCTTCTTTTATTAATAACTCACGAGAAAAAGAAAGCAAGGGGGAAAAAAGATAAGAGAGCTGCAGAAAACAAGCCATCAATCGGCACCATTTGGAGCTGACAAAACAGAAATAAACTAAAGAAAAGATTGCGTGGCCAGTACAAATACAGAAGGTTTTCTTTCCCTGGGAAAGAAACTGAAATTGTCAACAAAAATAAAGTGCACAAGGCTGGAATAAACTGTGAACTGTCATTCTAAGCACAGATCCCATGACCCATGAAGATGGAAGGAGGATGTTGGAAAAGCTGAGATTGTCCCAAAAAAAACCTCTTCAGAATCTCATCCCTCCCGTTAATTCATTTGGCTAATGGAGGAGAAGGGTATTCTTTCTTTCTCTATACAGGTAATCTTTGACTTACATCCATTGTTCTGTGACTGTTCAAACATAAAACAATGCTGAACAAAGGGGATTCATGACTGGTCCTCAGACTTCTGGCTGTCACAGCAAGCCATGGTCACGAGTGTAATTTCCCATGTTCCCTGCCAGCTTCCCATAAGCAAACTGGGGAAGCAGCTAGAAGTTGCAGTGTCATGAAATCTTTCCTTAATCACCCGCACAATGCTCGCTTAACTGTAGCAACTGGGATTGCCAGAATTGCCATTGCTAAGTCACATGATGTCATACTTTAGAACCATGTCACTGAGTGAGGGCAATTCCAGACCCAGTAATCATTGTTAATTGAGAACTAGCAATAGCACTTAGACCAATGGTGGCGAACCTATGGCATGCGTGCCAGAGGCGTCACTCGGAGACCTCTCTGTGGGCACGCGTGCCATGCCCCGGAGATGGCAACCATCCCTCTTCAACCAGCCGCCCGCTAACTCACCCACACATGGCCTGATGCATCCCAGCACGGCTGGTTTCCCTCCCCCCTGTCCCATCCCTCCTGGCCTCGCATGCTCTCCTTTTCCCGGGCACGACCCACTGCTGTCAGCCGTCTGTCCAGCTCAGAGGTGGCTTCTCTGAACTGCTGGCAGTGGGCTGCGGAGCCCCAGAGTGCGCCGGTTGAGGGGCTGGCAGGCTGTGGATGCTGACAGACACTGTTGGCCCCCATCCGCTCGCTGGCCTCAGTAT